GTGGTAGTTACATCTGTGAGAGGACAAGGTCATGTGTGATCATAGAAGGACAAGAGAATTTCAGAATCCCGAGGGGTGCACCAGTCATGAAAGTACCAGGAGACTAGCCGACAGAAGACACTGGATGGTCTTCCTATGGGGTGAAGGGACCACACATGCTCCAGGTCAACTGGGGTCAGAACTTAAAGCCAAGAACTGAGTTCAGGTCCCCACCAGGACCTTGCTCCCTCATTCCCTGGTACAGCACCATGGCCACTCCCCTAACCCCCTGCCCATAAGGAAAAGGTGACTGCACTCCAAGGAGACAGGAGGACAGACAACATCCAAAGGTGCCCTGGCCCAGTGACTGAATCTGCAGTAACCTTAATAGGATGACAGGGGTTTCAGGTAATTCTGTTTTTGTTTTTGATGGTGCTGGGGATTGAACCCAGGGCCTTGTCCTTGCTGGGCAAGCAGCTCTGCCACTGAGCCACATCCCCACACCAAGTAATTCTAATTTTTAAATGCTAAAGAGAGAGCTGGGCATGTACCTCATGGTGGAGTATTTGTTTGTTTGTCATGTATAAGGCCTGCAACACGAAGAGAAAAAAGCTGAGAAGAGTTCAAAGCAGGAATGATTAAATAGCATCCGCTGTATACGATAACTGGATTAATAGGCAGAAATCAAATTGTGGTGATTAACAAGTGAATGAGGGATGAGGACATTGAGACCACAAATAGAAACTCCTTTTTCAAGAAGCATGACTAGGAAAGGAAAAAGGGGAACTAGAGCAGATTTTAGGACTAAGGAGGGGTGTTTAAAGAACAGGCAGAATTGAATATTTTTACAGAATTGCCAAAGCATTGAGCTGAAATGAAGTGGTCTGAAACTGCAAAGGTAGCATTTCCAGATCTAGTGAATCTCCTGTGTTGGGTACATAATCCCATCTGCTTTCACCTGCATGGCTTAGTTTTGGACGTTGAATTTGTGCTAATTTATAGGTTCTTCCTCCTCCCCTTGCTGCTGCTTCTCCTCCTCATTATTATTTTGATGATGGTGGTGGTGGTGGTGGTGGTGGTAATGATAAAACCCAGGGATACTCTACCACTGAGTTATATTCTGAGCCCTTTTTATTTTTTATTTTGAAATAGGATTGTGCTGAGTTGTTGAGGGTGTTCTCAAATGTGTGATCTTCTTGCCTCAGCCTCCTGAGTTGCTAGGATTATGGCCTGTTCCATAGTGCCTGGCTTAGTAAGTACCTTATTCCCACCTAGGCAGTCATAGTTTTCAGTGTTATTTGTGACTGGATTAAAAGTTTATAGCATATGGCTGTGCATGTGCCCCCTGTATCCCCTATAGAGTGCATGCCTCAAATGCATAAGGCCCAGGACTCAATCTCTAGCCAAAAAGAAAAAATAATTATATATTCTCAATAGTCTGCACCCAAGAATTAATGCCAGATATCAAACTGGTGACAGTGGTGAGTCCTAGGAGGACTGGGGAGGGGAAGAGTGAAGAGTGGTCAAGGGCCTTATCTATACCACTTGAAATTTTTAAATGAGAGTTAAAATTAAAAAGAACCATGCTGAATAGTCAAGTTTGAAAATTAAAACACTTCTGTATCAGAGGGGATACTAGTAGAAAGTAAATATTGTTAGTTGACTGTGTATTTCTTTCATCTTGTCATATTCACAGGAAGACTTGAAGTTCCAGTTATATCCTGTAAATTTAGTTAGATACTTGGCTTTGGAGGAACTATAAGTCTGCTTGCAGTTTAGCAAGACTCAGGGTTTGATTAGTACAGGATCCATAGAACCCCCCATTGTGAACCTCAAGTCCAGTTTCATTGCCCTGTAAGAGATGAGAGAAAACTTGAGTGGTTCATAGTTTACTGCTACAACTGCACATGATCATCAGGTGGTTACAGAGTAGTTCTGAATGTTTTGAAGAAATTTGCCATTATTTATTCCTTGGAAGGAAAATAGTGCTGTAGACAACTTCAACTAAGTAATTTCAGATGTTAAATTTAGAATTAACATCTGTGTGGACCTTGAGTGCAAGTGCACCTGATGCAGTAGTGCAGCTCTGCTGATGGGCACACTCTTCCATACACTCTGGCCTTAGGGTGCTTGGGTGTGGAGTGCACCTGGAGTCCCAGGTGGGTAGAGGCTGAGGTGGGAGGATCTCTTGAATCCAGGAGTGCAAGACCAGCCTAAACAACATAGCAAGACCCCATCTCCAGGGGCGGAAAATTAAAAAAGTACTTGGAAAATTGCCTGTTTTCCCTTGCCTGCTTAACCTGTGCTATTAACTGCCATTATCCTTTTCCCCTCACTGAACGCTGGCAAGTGTCTGAGACTCACGACAGAGCAGGCAAAGGACTGAGATGGTCACTGTCTTCTTGTCTGTTAAGAACATATGTAATAATGAGCTACTTTGTGAAGTTGGAACAGAATTTGTACTAATGATAAATCCAAAGAAGTTGTGGTTTAACTTGGGCAGAATCTTTGATTAAAATAGGGAACTAAAAATCAGTCTGTATTCTTTTATAGTCTATGGTTAATTGACAAAAAATTTAAAAATCTGATAGTTCTCTGTGGTGCTGAGGGTCAGACATAACCAACCTATGGTTCTTGAGGCCTCTGTGAGGACCAGACCAGCTAGCTCTTGAGCTGTTGCAGTGCTGTTCAGTGGGAGGAAACATCTGCACTAAAGTACCAAGTTCCTTGATTCCACTGGGGTTTAGTTCCATTTATGCTCTATTGAACTCCCGCCCAACCTAATTTAAAGTTGTCTAAGATACAGTCCTTGCTGTCAGTGAAGAAGACATCCGTGTGGACAGAACCAGTATAAGATGATCTACCTCAAAGGAGAGTAGCACTTCACCCAGCCAGGCAGGCACAGAAAATTTCCAGTAGAAGCCAGCGTGATGGCAGAAGCCTGTAATCCCAGCAAATGAGGCAGGAAGATCACAAATTTGAGGCAATTTAGCAAAACATTGTCTCAAAACAAAAAATAAAATGGTTGGGGATGTAACTTAGTGGTAAAGCTCCTGGGTTCAAAGGAGACAGATAAAAGATGAGTAGAAGGGAATTAGCAAAGGGCCCTCAGTAGGCATTAGTGCATGAGTGTGGGCAACAAGGAAACCAGGCACAGTGCTTATGGGTAGAATGGGAAGATAAGATAGGTCTGAGGAGATTTTGGATTTGACCCTAAAGTAATGGGTAGTTATTGACTGAATACAACAAGTCAGTGCACATCCACAAAGGTCAAATTTGCTTTTGAAAAAGAGGCATTGCACCAGGAATGTGCAGTAGCACAGGCCTGTAACCCCAGCAATTCAGGAGGCTGAGACAGGAGGATCACAAATTTGAGGCCCTCCTAGACAACTTAGACCCTGTCTCAAAGTAAAAAATAAAAAGTCCTGGGAGTATAGCTCTGTAGTAGTGCAACCCAGGCTTCAATCCCCAGTACAAAGAAAAAAGAAAAAGACACATTGCATTGCTAGGACAACAGTGTGTGTAATAGAGAGATAGGAATAAAATTTAAAACATATGGGTTCTTGCTGGGTGTGGAGGCACACTCCTATAATCTGTCCCAGTGGCTGGGGAGGCTGAGGCAATAGGATCACAAGTTCAGAGTCGGCCTTAGCAGCTTAGTAAGGCCCTAAGCAACTTAGCAAGACCCTGTCTCTAAATAAAATGTATAATGAGTTGGGATGTGGCTCAGTGGTTAAGCGCCTGTGGGTTCATTCCCCAGTACCAAAAAACTAAAACACAAACAAAAATTATGGGTTCTCAACACCGTTCCGTCAGAGATTTATTGATCTAAAAGGGTATTAAGTAAAATAAGTAAAAGTGATGACAGATAAGGTCACCGGATGCTTTCAGGATTTGCTAAAGTGACATTTCCAGCACTGGAACATAATATGGGACTAAAACTACACTTAACAGCCTGTAGCCACCAGGAGTGGAATGTGCTCTCATGGACAGAAGCATTAAGTTGATTGTGAAATAAAGGGACCGACTTCCAAAGAGCTTTCTAACAGCAGTTCAGATGCTGATCACAGATAAGCTGAGGCTGGGCTCACCATTGTTTTGACCACCCTGTCACACACAGTAGGTGCAGTCTTGAGCTGGAGAACCTAATACTTGTTTCTGCCTCTGTAAAATGAAGGCACTGGCCATTTCACAGATCTTCAGATGCCTGTATACTGACAGATATCTATCTATATGTTCATTCATCAACATATTCAGACATTTGAATATATCTTAGTACATCATAAAATTGTCACTGCATTCATTAGCAGGTTGCTATTAATTTAATTTGAAGAGATAATTCCAGCCATTATTTGAGAATGGATTGGGGAGAAGCAAGAGTAGAAGCGGGGAACAGCTAAGAGGCCTCCACAGGGAAAGTGATGACCTCAGTGGAAATGAAGAATTATGGTGGATTTGAGATACAGATGTTGAGAACAGAAATGGTAGGGCTTATATGAGGGACTCTTGGGTAGGTGAGGTTCCAAGAACGAACTTCAGGTTCTGCCTTGATAAAGACAGTGGAGATGGGAGGAACTTGGGCAGAGTGAAGATGGAGTTTGGGACAAGTTGAGTTTGTAGTGATTGTGAGACATCCAGATGGAGACATTGAAAAGGCATTTTGGTGTTTTGGGGGGTAAAATAGTAAATAAAAAAGTTTTGATAATAGGTTTTAATGTCCCTTTAGAAAGTGTTCCAGTTTATGTTCCTAATAGCCACTTGCCTTGACTGAGCTTGCATTTGGTGCCCTACCCTATACTAGGCCTTTCACACATAATTAAACTTCAAAAGAACCTTCTGAGGAGGATGCTGTTACTGCCCTAGTGTTGGATGGGGAAGTCTTCGCTTGGGAGGCCCGGCCACTGGCTTACAGGCCAGCTGCTGTGAAGCAGGGAGCTGGATTTGGATGGGGCTTCCTGATCCACTTTTTCTCTGGTGTCTTCCATGGAGCATGTAGCTCATTGTGATTTTTCTCTTTTCAGGGTTTTGGTTTTTTGCACTGAATGTAACCTAGACTCATTGTCTCAGGCCTGCATTGCCCCAAGATACTGTCAAAGGTAAGTTTTTAAAATTGACATCCACCATGTATTGGTAATGGAATGGGAGAGTCTTTATCTTAAAAAGAAGGAAAATGGGCTGGGTCCATAGCTCAGTGGCAGAGCACTTGCCTGGTATGTGTAGGCACTGGGTTCCATCCTCAGCACCACAGAGTAATAAATAAGTAAAATAAAGGTATTGTGCTATCTACAACTAAAAAAAAAAAAACATTTTTTTAAAGGTTAGATCGGAAGAGCGGTTCACGACGCTCTTCCGATCTAGCACCACAGAGTAATAAATAAGTAAAATAAAGGTATTGTGCTATCTACAACTAAAAAACAACATTTTTTTAAAGGTTAAAAAAAAAAAAAAAGGAAAAGAGCTGGGGCTATAGCTCAGTTGGTAGAGCTTGCCTCACATGCACAAGGCCCTGGGTTCAATCCCCAGCACTGCATACACACACAAAGGAAAGTATGTTATGATGTTGTTGCTTCTTTGCAGATTTCTTATAGAAGGAAATTTTTGAATTCCTACTTTGGTCCCTTTAAATTGCACTGGTATTGATGGTGGGGATGTAGCTCAGTGGTAGAATACTTGCTTAACTTGCATGAGGCCTGCATTTGACCCCCAGCACTACATAAAACAAAGAAAAAGAAAGGGGCACGGGGAGGGAGGGAGAGGGGACAAGCTATGGTGTTCAGATGGCTACTGACATTTGGTACTTTATCCTATAAAGCAGGACCTTACTAGGATTAGCAGTTGCGCAGTTCTAAGTGAGAACATTGCCTGCTTCTCTGCCTCTGGTCTCCCTGCTCCATTCTGCAGTGCACATTCCTGCCTGGGTTTGCTTTCTAGATGAGAGATTTAGCCATGTCACTGCTTTGCTGAAACAGCTTCTGTGGCTCCCAGTGGTTGCTGATGCTAATCTACAAACCCCTTCAAAATCTAATTCCAGGCATGGATTCTGGCTTCTGTGGGGAATCCCTGTCTATAAGTCTTTTGATTGTTTTTTTCTTTTTGCCATGCAGAGGATTGAACCCAGGCCTCATGTGTACTAGGCACACACTGAGCTTTACCCCCAGCCCTCAAGTCTATAAGTCTAACCAGATCATTTTCTGTTTCCTAAATGTGTATGGTTTTGTGCCTTGGTTGATGCTTTTCTCTTTGCTTAGAGTGTAGCAAAATGCAGCTACCTGCTCTTCCTTTTTCTACCTTTCCTATTTTCCTGTTCTCCCAGACTGCTATAGAATTCCTTTTTCATGTGTCTTAAGAACTCCTCTTGTGGGGCTGGGGTTGTGGCTCAGTGGTAGAGCACTAGCCTCACATATGGGAGGGCTTGGATTTGGTCCTCAGCACCACATAAAAATAAATAAAAATAAAGGTATTGTGTCCAACTACAACTAAAAAATAAATATTTTTAAAAAGAGAACTCCTATTGTTGTTATGATAATAAATTACCCCTAATTTAATGTGAGTTTTTTTGTGTCCATCATCTTTACTATTCTGTAAACTCTTTGAGGCTTCTTGGAAAGGAACTTTTTAAAATTAAAATGAATTTATTTAACTGATACATAAAAACATACAAATTGTACATATTTGTCTGGTTCCATCTGATATTTTTGATACATGTATACACCTTGTAATGTTTTAAGTCAGGTTAAACATCTGTCTCCTCAGACATTCATGATTTCTTTATGGTGATAACATCCAAAAATCTCTTTTTTCTAGCTTTTTGAAATTACATATTTGTAGTCACTCTACTGGCAACAGCACACTTGAACCAGGAACTAAGAACTAACTTTTTTTCTCATTATTGTGCTGGGGATGAAACCCAGGGCTTTGTGCATGCTTAGGCCTGTTGGCCACTGCTGGACACCTTAGTAAAGCCATACATTCCTTGTTTAATCCTTCTGTACTTCTACCTGCCCAGTGTATGAATGAAAATAACTAAGGATTAAAAGTTAACGCCAAGTATGACAGTGCAACCATGTAATCCCAGTGATGTGGGAGGCTGAGGCAGGAAGATCACAGGTTTGAGGCCAGCCTTAGCAACTGAGCAAGACCCTGTCTCAAAATTTAAAAAAATTTTATAAAGGGCTGAAGGTGTAGCACAGTGGTAGAGCATTCCTAAATTCAATCCCAAGTACTAAAAAAAAAAAAAAAAAAAAAAAAAGACAAAAAGAAGGTTAATAACTTGTCCAAGATTATACACCTAATAACTGACAAAGAAGAAGGATTTTGTTTCTTCAAAGTCAAAGCTTATTCTACTACACCATACTAGCCCAACACCATTTGACATGTGGCAGAAACTCACTAGATGTTTTTTGCATTCATATGTATTACATTTTAATTTTTTATTTTTTTATTCTACCATTTTCTTTATACTTTTTTAAAAATTTGTTTTAATTAGTTACACATGACAGTACAATGATCTTGACATATCATACATTTGAATCAGATGGGGTATAATTTCTCATTATTCTGAGTGTATAGGTTGCAGAATCACATTGGTCATGCAGTTACGTGTATATACACAGCAATAATAATGTCTATTTTATTCTGCTGTCCTTTCTTTCCCCCCTTCCCCTCCCCTCCCCTCCCATCACTTCTCTCTACACAATCTAAAGTGACACACTTCTTTTTTTTTTTTTCCCTCACATTGTCATACATGTATTCTGTATAACTGTCAGAAGTACAGTAACATTGACTTAGACCCTAGACACAACTATAAGTCATAACTTCAAACAAGAATGTCATCATTGCTGGGAGTGTGTAACTCAGAGGTAGAGCTTGCACAAAGTCCTAGGTTTGATCTTCAGCACCACACTGATGCTGACAGCACTAAGGCCCTAGGTTTGATCTGACAGCACTCTGTCCCAAAACATAGCGTTCTATGTTAGGACTTCTCTGCTGCACAATGATAAGGATTCCTCCATGAAGGTCCAGAGTCAGGCCCTGCAACAAATCCCAGTTACTTGGGAGTCTGAGGCAGGAGGATCACAAGTTCAAGGCCAGCCTTAGCAACTTAGCAAGACCATGTCTCAAAATAAAAAAAAAAAAAAATGAAAAGGGCTACTTTTGAACTGTACCCCACTACCCATCAAGCTTTTTTTTTTTTTTTTTAAAGAAACACATTAAAAACTATTAAGGAGGGCTGGGGATGTGGCTCAAGCAGTAGCGTGCTCACCTGGCATGCATGTGGCCCAGGTTCGATCCTCAGCACTACATACAAAGAAAGATGTTGTGTCTGCCAAAAACCCAAATAAATAAATAAATATTTAAAAAAATTATAAAAAAATAAAAATAAAAACTATTAAGCAAAATTACATACAAGAGGAAGTGAGGGGAAAGGAAAAATAATACAAGGGGGAGGAATGAATTACAGTAGAGGGGGTAGAGAGAGAAGAGGGGAGGGGAGGGGGGATAGTTGAGGATAGGAAAGGCAGCAGAATACAACAGACAAGAGTATGTCATTATGTAAATCAATGGAAGTGTAACTGATGTGATTCTGCAAGCTGTATACGGGGTAAAAATGGGAGTTCATAACCCACTTGAATCAAAGTGTGAAATATGATATATCAAGAACTATGTAATGTTTTGAACAACCAACAATAAAAATAAATAAATAAATAAATAAATAAAACTATTAAGGATAATTCCAAAGGAACAACAAAAAAAATGGGAGCAAAGAAAGGATGAAAAGAAAAGCAGGTATCAATAAAATGTAAGTAGGCAGACTATATGGTGTTGGTTGGGAAAGTTTTAGTTTTTTAAAAAATTTTTTGCAGGTCTGGGGTTGTAGCTCAGCGGTAGAGCACTCACCTAGCATGTGCAAGGCCCTGGGTTCTATCCTTAGCACCACATAAAATAAATAAATAAAATAAAGATATTGTGTTCAGGGGCTGGAGATGTGGCTCAAGCGGTAGCGCGCTCGCCTGGCATGTGTGTGGCCCGGGTTCCATCCTCAGCACCACAGTTCGATCCAGGGCCCCTTTGGCTGTGGCTCTCAACACAAACAAAGATATTGTGTCTGCTGAGAACTAAAAAATAGATATTAAAAATACTCTCTCTCTCTCTCTCTCTCTCTCTCTCTCTCCCACTCTCTCTCTTAAAAAAAAAGATATTGTGTTCAACTACAACTAAAAACAAAATATTATGATTATTATTTTTTTTTTCAAGTAGTGGAGACTGAACCCAGCAGTGCTTTTCCACTGAGCTACACTCCTAGCCCTTTTCATTTTTTTTATTTTGAGACATGGTCTTGCTAAGTTGCTAAGGCTGGCTTTGAACTTGTGATCCTCTTGCCTCAGACTCCCAAGAAACTGGGATTTGTTGCAGGGCCTGACTCTGGACCTTCATGGAGGAATCCTTATCTTTGTGCAGCAGGGAAATCCTAACATAGAACGCTATATTTTGGGACAGAGTGCTGTCAGAACACTGGCAACTGCCATTTCCTTGCTCCTTTGACAAGAAGTTATTCCCCTGTTGGTACAAGGTCTGCCTACATGGCAGTTTCTGAACTCTTGGTGTCTGGACTCCTGTAATACGAAATGTTGTGTGTCACCTCTGGCCTATTGTGATTGTTATATGTAAATTGGCACATACCCACTATAAAAGCTATTTTTTGCTGTGCAATAAAGTAGATGCAATTCTCTGAAACCATCTCCGGAGGTTTTTTTTTTTTAAAATGGTACTGGAGATGAACCCAGGGTCTTACACATGCTAGGCAAGCACTCAACTAATAAGCTGATCCCAGCCCTCTTTATTTTGAGACAAGTTACAGTCCTCCTTCTTTAGCCTCCTGAGTGTCTTGGATTACAGGTTTGTGACACTGTACCCAGCAATTTTTATTTCTAAAAATGATTCCTGCCAGACATGGTAGAACACACCTATAGTCCTAGGCACATTCCCAGTGACCTAAAGACCTTCTGCTAGGCCCCACCTCTTAGAGGACTTTCTGCCTCCCAATTGTGCCAATGTGGGGACCAGCCCTTTAATACAAGGTCCTTTGAGGGGATATTTAATGTCCAAATGATAGTAGGTATGACTGGCGATTGTTCATAGGTAGTTATTGGCACATTTGTGTGGAGAGAGGGAAAGATTTGCCTGAGTAAAGTGCCGAATAGTGTGTCCTTTGGGTATAGCGAAGTTATTGAGGGCTTTGGAAGGAAAGGTATGTTACTGATGTCATGGTCATGGGATGATGGAGCAGCGTAGGCAGATACAGAAGCTGAACTTAATTGTGAGGAGTAGACTCAGATGCAAATTGGGATAGAATTGGACCCAATAAATAATAATCATTTCCCTGCCCAAGTTCTAAACCAGCAGAGGTATTTGACAAAGAAATAAGACAGGTAGAGATCAGAATGTCACTTTTATTACTAATAAAGCTGACATACCTAGGGCAGATAGGCTTCTTAGTTCAGAACTCCAGGATTTAACAAGTGTGCTCAGCCCATAGCTCTAATCTAGGAGAGGCCTGCCTAGTAGAAGAGGGAGGGCAGGGAGCCTAATAGGCTCCCCTCTTGGAAAGGGGCCAGAGAGGGCTGGCCAGTGTAAGTCCAGATTCACTTTCTTTTTCTGGAGACAATAATCAGGTAAGTCTCTTCACCCCAACAGCATGAGTCATGTTATGGTAAGTTCATGATATTAAAACATTCACATTGTCCCACAAGGATGGGGAGAAGGTTCCCCTCCCCTAGCTCCCCAGCTCTTGTCTCCTAGTGCATTGGTCTTTACCAATAAGTAAGTCCAGACACCAGAGTCTGCCAAGCCCCTTCCTCCCTTCACCGCTTCCCTCCTGCCTTTCTTCCTGGTGTAGACAGAAACCTCTTCCTTTCCATTTCCCCTTGGGCTTAACTGTGTACTGTTTATTAGTCCACAAACAATTTTAAAGGACAACTTTGCTCACTTTGTAAGACTCGTGCTCTTTGAAGTTCACCTGTCTTCTAGCTTGTATGCAGCGAATAAATGTCCCACTTTCTGATGTCTGAAAGGCCTAAATGAAGACTCTTCCCTAAAGTCTAATCTTTCCTCAGCCATGCCAGCTTAGGAAGAGCTATGCCAGCATAATTCAAGGTCAAGCAGCAGCCCTCTGTACACTGAAGCCACCCATGCCTGCTAACACCCTGTGCTGAAGCTAGCATACATGGCGTCTGCTTACTAGGCCAAAGTGGACGGTGTATGCTGAGACCGCCTGCACAGCTGGAGTTTGGTTTAGATGAGCTTTCAGTGCCACCGTCACGATTGTGGCTTGTTTCTTGGCGAGACTTTCAAAGCCCCCATAGTCTTTGCCGAAATTTCTGAGCCTAGTACATGCAGCCTTGTCTCTATAGAAACAATCACTTATCTGACGACAAAGTTGCCATAACTACAGTTACCGTTAAGGTCAAAATACTGTGTGGCCTATAGTTTATAAGCTTCAATAGTTAAAAAGCTAATACACAAGTAAAAACCTGTGTGGCCTAATGTAATCATCTACAGGAGAATCCTTCGTGTCTCATTAAAGGCCCAAAGTCCTGGCCTCCAATTGAAGCTTCAAAAATTCCACATGTATTTCATGCCCCCCAATTTTACTTCCTGTCTTTTTATCCAGATATCAGTCTTATGCACTAGATATTAGGCTCTTTGAGACCTAATAAATAGTACTACAAGTCCCCTTGACTGAGCTGTATACCAGTGGAGAAATGAGATAAAAAAGGAAAGCATTTGAGAGACCAAACTATTGTCTCTGTTACTGACAAAGCTGTATTGAAGAATGTGACTTACACATAGATACTGCTAAGTGGACTTCTTAATAGTAAGCCTCAGAATTCGGCAGGCTTACTTAGTTGTAGGTAGTTGTGAGGGTCTTGCATTTAGGGGTACAAGAGCCAGAAGAACGCCTGCTCCCCAGTGGTAGCTCCTTCCCAAGGGAAGGAAGGGCTGAGCTCCACCCGCCTTGGCTCTCCTTCCAGATAAGTCTCTTCAAGGCAAGCTTTTTTCTCCTTTGGGGTAGAGAGGAGCCAGCAGGAGAGGGAAGCAGCATCCTGTGAGCATAAAGGCACAGGGAGATGTTCAGCGAGAACTGGGGATTGAGTATAGGAGAATAGAGGGAGCTTTGAGAGTGGCCATCTGCATGTCCTTCGACCTATTACATTCAATCCTCAGGAAAATGATGTTCCCCAGGGAAATGAGATAAAGGGGAATTTTCTCAACGTCTCATATACATAGTCCTTTGTGTCTGACTTGAGTTACAGCTGTGACTGTCTCTAGGCTTGTCACTGCTTCCTGCCCGTTCAGGCCTAACAATAGAAAGGTTGTCCACTGGATGGGTACAGGTCCATTGTTCTTCCTTAATAATTTCTTCTCCAACATGTTGAAAATTTTAGGGCTGCTATAAGGAGAGAAGGTAAGACTTAATAAGGCCTTGATGAATAGATGGGATCTTGTGAGGAAATGATGGATTTTAGAAAGTGAATGTAGGGGCAAAAGTGTTTGGTTAAGCTGAGTGCCATGGTTACACCTGTAGTCCTGGGTCTTTGGAAGGCTAAGGCAGGAGGATATCTTGAGCCCAGGAGTTGGAGGCTAGCCTGGGCAGCATAGTGAGGTCCATGTCTGGGGGAAGGTCTTGATAATAACCTTGAAAGTGGGGGTTAGGAAGGTTGGGGAGGACAGAAGGCTGTTTATTGTTGGGGCAGGGAAGAGGAATCAGGGAGGAAAAGAGCAGTGAAGGTCAGAGAAAGGTCAGCGAGAAAGATGTAAGAAAGCGAGGGCTGGACAAGAGAAGGGGGGAGGTGGTAAAGCTGTAGGTCAAGCAGTCTGCCATACAACAGCAGTGGCCTTTTGTAGAGGAGCACACCATGGCCTGCCTCCTTCCTCTCCTGCCTTCCTACCGGAAGCCTGGGTGGAGCCCCAGGGCTCAGAGCAGAGAGTAACCATTGCTGGCTGAGAGCGCAGACCTGGGAGAGGAAGGGAATTCTTGGTGTGTGGAGTGCATCCTCTGCGAGAACCCACCTCCCTTCCTGTGATAGGAGGACGGTTGGGAGGTGCTTTGCAGTTCATATCTTGCTGGTTGTTTTTTGAATTTTTTCAAGTGTTGTCAACTTAATTTTCATAGAAAGAGCAATCCTGTTTTTACACAACAATCATAAAACAGTGAAGGGCAAAAGCAACTAGAGAGAGCCTGTTTACTTGCTGTGCACCTTTGTGTGTGTGTGTGTGTGTGTGTGTGTGTGTGTGTGTGTGTTGGGGGACTGGGCAGCACAGGGTAACACGTGAAAGTGAATGGAGGTTGCGTGAGAATTTCTGCTTTACCAGTTGTAAACTCACATCATGTAAATAAATATTTGTTCCCAAAAAACCTTGTTGGGCAAGCTCACTAGATATTTTGAATACCCCCTTTCCCCAGCCAACAGCCGTGGAAACCCAGAAGTGCCTTCTTAGCCTCAGGTCTTGCAGCTGGCTATTAAGAAACCTGCACCAGAAGGGGTTGCCATGCCCTGGTGTGTTCACAAAGAGATGTCTCTGCACACAGAAAAGCATGTGTTACAAGCATCATTTTAGGTTTTACATTTTGTAGCTGTCAGTCTTTTAAAATATTTGAGAGGTTTTTAAGTTTTTATTTATTTCAAAAAAATTTTTTTTAGGG